TTGCTCATTATGTGAACATGACCAGTGAATGTACACACAGCAGTAGCCTTGTAAAGAATTCAGGTTTGGTGCAACCACCTCTATTCTCAAAAATGGTGACCAATTGTGATGTATAATTTTGACCCATTTATGTTAATATAATTAGATTATAAAGCTGTGTTTACCTTTGGTTTGGGGACAGAAGCAGACTTTGAAGACATCACTGAATTCTCTCCTTTCTGGCAATCCATTCTAGCATTGAATGTGATCTGAACATTTGTATGTTATACGCCTACCAGATAGAAAACATGTGTCTAGAAAAACAAGCTAGACATAGCCCTTTAATGAGATCATGTGAATTGTTTCAGGATCTACAACTACTTTCCCTGAATCTGGTGCCCTCCAGGGTCTGTTGGACTACAACTCCCATAATCTATGGCCCAACAGGTCTGGAAGTCATTACTCATGGGAAACCTATCTGGTTTTAATTGAATTAAATACAGTTAATTTGATTGCTCATGTATTAAATAATTTCCACTTCTGTCACATTAAACACATGGTGATGTTTTGATGGGCTGTGGGAAATATCCCAAACTCTGGAGAGATGCAGATCATCTTTCCCTACACTAGACTGCATCCTTTAAAAAAGTCTTCACTACTCAGAATACAGGTCTGAGGTCAACCTCAGATTCTCTATATAAAAACAAGTGCAATTGATGTACTAAATATGTACTACTTCGAAAACATTTCTTTGGAAGGTGTATTGTTTTTCTTCCTATTGATAACATTGAGGTATTGCTTATCAAAGGTGGGAAATTGTGTAAAGTTGGGCAAGAAAGTCTCAATATATTATATCTAAAATAAATACAAACTTCCAGCATCTATTCCAGCAGTCCCCAAGAAAAATCAAATGAACCACATACCACATACCTACTTACCTACCCATATGTACACATATGATAAGAAATGTGTAATGTATTATTTTGCTAAAGGCAATGGTTCTTTTTAAGGATCCAGGAGCAATAAGCACACAAGTGGATTGAAGTTAAAGTGTCTTTATTCTAAAGCAGGCACAGTAGTAAGTAGAATATACAATACCAAGCAAGCTTTCCTCAGTCAGTTGTCGGGAGCCCCAGTGGACGACAACGAGGAGACTCCAATCTCTAGCCAGTATGCAGCACCTTCCCGGTTAGGTCTGCATCGAAGCTCAACTTGATCAGAACTTCGAGGCTTTTCATCCTAAATTTTAGAAGAATGCTACGTGCCTCTAAGGGCAGCACCTTAATCACACCTGTCATTTCAGGTTTCATGATGACTCAGGTTCTTCCCACCAGGTAAGTTGAGGCGAGTGGATAGCAGCCAATTCCACTGTTTATGGTATCTTCCCGCATTCCAAGGTCGTACCATCCCAAACAGCAACCAGCCTTGAAAAACACATTTCATGCCAGAGGACTTAACTGGCTTTTAAGGAAGTTCAGTAATTAATGTGGTCCAGGAGACCTGGGAATAGAAAGAACAATTGTGGCACGCCATCCTGAAGCTCCTCGATATACAATAGTCTTCCAGTGATTTTTCTCTACATGTGTACACATAGAAGTAAGAAATAGAAACCAAAAGACATTAAAGCCATGAGTATAAAAGAAATAGAGCTAATTTAGTTTACACCAAAACCACTCACTATACCTCTCCATACCTTACTATCCTTACAAATTATTTTTGCTTCAGCCATGTCCAAACATTGCTTTGTGTATTTCCTTTTGTCACCACAATGTTTCTGAGGATCTCTTCAACTCTCAATCTTCCCCTTCCTCTTGACCCATTCGCTCTTCCTGTGTATATGCGTTTGTGATTCCATCCTCATTCTATTTGACCAAACCACCTCGTTTTTTCCCTCCCACTGGTCACTCACTTTTGTTTTTTAATCTGTATTGTGCCCATTTATTTTTGACCCTATTTCTTGATTTTACCAGATACATTTCTTCAATACTTCCTTCCATTGCAGTCAATTTACCTTCATGTTTCTTGTGACATACCCAACTTGGCAGAAGCATCTCTTTATATCCAGCCTTTTTGCTTCATTGATAAATAAATTGCTTATTATGGCGCACACCCCAATGATGTTTTTCACAGTTATCTTCATGCAAAATAAAAAGAATGCACTTATAGTAAACGCCCTTAAGCAAATACATGCCATGGATACACACATGAAACAGGACACCAACAGGAAGAGGGGCCATGGAAAGAATATACTGTATAATCTTCCTCAACCCCTCTCCACATCACTCTGCTCTAAAGTGGATAAGACTATGCATATGGGTGTGGGATTATATTGAAGTTTAATGCATAAATTGGTATGTGGTATCAGAATTGCCTGGGGGTGGACAGCACATTAATGCTTTCTTCCCCCATCTGGCCTCCTCCAAATGTTTGTGAACTTCAGCTCCAGGGGGCAAAAAGGTAGGGAAGATGCACTAAGCCTCAACCTATGGTTTGCAAATCACAATGACTCACATCATCCTAAACTAAAACCATCCTAAGCCAAAAATCAAACGACACAATGTGTGTTATGGATGAAACCAGCTGTTTCTTTTTTAATTAACAAATAAATGTGATTCCCTTTCTGGAAACAATGATTGACAATTGACAAATGTAGTTATACAGAATCAGATTTTAGGCCTTTTGGTTCAACCTCTTCTTCAGTACAAGAAGTATCCATGACAGACGGCTAGGTTCTGCTTGAACGCATCCAGTGAAGGTGAGCCCCACATCTCTCTGGCTGCTTTGTTCTGCTAAAAATAGTAAATATTGTTTACTTATAATCATTATTTACACTATTTATTAATTATCCCACAGTTCACATGGTATGATCTGGATTACTGTTATTTGTTGAAGGTGTTGTCTGTTTCAGAAGTACAAAGGTAGTTATTGCTGCAATGTTTGCAGTGCAAAAAAATGTCTGTAAATAAACCCATATAATAGTAAGTTAGGAAAAGTCTAAGATAATTCTTATCCAAACTTCAGATAAACTGATTTCCAAAAGTTACTCTCGGAAAACTAAAATTAGACTTATTCCATCAGCTTTTGTACTGTGGGTCTTTTCTTCCCCTGTTTAAAATGCAAAGTCCACGTTTACAGTCTAACCATACTGTCTTGAATGTGTTCATGATTCTTGACCACTCCCAAAGGCAGCCCCAGTGTAACAGGTCGCAATAATCCACACGGAAACTCTATAAATGACCATAAATAAAGTTGGTAAATTTTAGCCAGGCTTCTAAAACTCTAGCACCATCTTTCAAAGAAGTACAAATCCTTCCAATGACATACACTGATCATAATCCAATTTTAATAACATGGAGTTCTGGCAAAAAAAAAATTACTCTTCAGCTGTAAAATGAATGACAGGATATTATTTAGTGAGATAGTTTTGCAAAAAATGCAAAGAAGAATTGAAACTATTCTTCAACACAAATATCACATCAGGCATCTGTCATAATATTATTTGGGAAACAAGTAAGGCATACATGAGGGGCCTTTTAAATAAATTAGCTGAAAGAAAAAAAGGATACAATACAATTTTCTAAATAGAAAAAAATTGAATATTAGCTTATCAACTTAGAAAAAAGAAACACAATATCAGTAATAAAGAAAGGATCCAAACTGTTAACACTCAAGATCAGAAATAATAGGAGAAATTGGCAGCCTTTTTAAAAAAATTATATTCCAAAACTAGCACTGACTATGAATAAACATTTTAAAAAATCGGTTACCAAAGAATTCAGTGATCTAGCTAGGTAAATATTAAACACACCTATAACTGTTCAAGAAACTAAAAAAGCAATAAAATCAAATTGGGAAGAGCACCAGGACAGATGGGCTGATAGCTCAATATTACAAAGAATTTGAAGAAGAATTATCAGAACCATTGATAAATATTATGAATGAAATCAAAGAAACAAAGGTAGTACCACCAATATGTGAAGAGGCATATATAACTTTGATTTATAAAGAAGGGAACGACCCAGAGAAACTACAATCATATAGACCAATTTCCTTGCTGAATATAAATTAGTTATTATTATATAAATAATAAATAAATACTATATTATTATAATATTAT